GGTGCTAACCGGATTGTTTTGGAAGACTCTAATATCTTGCAGCCTGTGGGACTAACTGTATTTGAAAACTCGCTGTATTGGATTGACAAGCAACAGCAGATGATTGAAAAGATTGATATGACTGGTCGAGAAGGACGTACAAAGGTCCAAGCTCGTATTGCACAACTCAGTGACATCCATGCTGTAAAAGAGCTCAACATTCAGGAATACAGTAAGTGCAATCCCTGTTTGCAAGTGCAAACAGTGCCTGCAGGGCTCGAGCCAAGGGGTGGCTGCAGAAAGATGAGCCTGTTTGGCCTTGTCATTCATTGATCAACATCAGTACAGATCGAAAGGGCCACAAGTTGGTATCGTTCTGTGTCTGTACATTGCCAGGGTGCAATTAAGTTTGTTTCCTTCAGGCAGTTGGCAGTGGACTGGAAATCTATCACAAACCCAGCATCATGTTTTGTTGCTGATGACAACTTTATTGGAAGTCCCATGCAGGCACCTGGCATTTGAGTGTCTGTAGGCACAGTGGAAACGTCCTGTTATCCCTAGTAGAGGATTTTCTGGATCATGCTAGTGAGTCATTATGAGGTGTTTATTTCCGTTTAGACAAGCACAACTCTCAGAGCCTTTTACTAGTAGTAGATATTTCAATGGACTGCCTGCTTGAAGGAAAAGTGAACAATTTTTGTTGGTGGAAATTCATATTGAAAGTAAATGACAGAAGAGCAATGTTGCATTGCAGAAAGGAAGTGTGTCTTAAATAACAATTTGTGTTGAAAATGGCTGCACTTTAAAAGTTTTATGTTCACCAGGATATAGCATTTCCCCACACACATGCTTGAAACGATGGGAGCTGGATGGTTAAAGCAGTGGAGCTGCTGTCATCCTGGAGGAAATAGGCCTGGTTAATAGGCTGTGGTGCATGCCTTGGAGAAATATGTAGAAAAATGTCTGGGGATGTTTAATTAAAGCATCACTGCAGACTACTACTAGTTTTGTGTGCTATTAATCTCAGTAAATTTGTCAGGAGTTCCAAGAGAAGTGTGTTGTCCTTATTAAACATTAAAATGAAGAGACATATTTATCTAGAGCATGTTAATTTGAGTTTCAGAGACAGTATGGAAGTGTCAGAATTCATAAATTAGAAAAGTTTACTTTTAATGGTCTTTGATAGAGAAAATGAAGTATGGAATCCAAGGCATGGTTTTGTATTACTAATGCTACTATTTTTGCTGCAGAGAACTGGTGCTACTTTGCACAAAACCCAAAATGCTTAGAGTTCTGTTTCAGTAGACCCCATGGCATGATTCTTAGTGTTTTAGATCATGGGCAGTTACTGATGTGCATTGTAATTATTGATGTATGTAAAGGGAAAAACACATACAACAAAATACAATTTTTTCAGACTTGTTTTTAGTACTGCTCTCCCCAGGGGGAAGGAAATAATGAAGGGAGTCCTGTGAGCTCAAAGAAATTACTGAGAAGTCATAAAAGAGGTGGGGATTTCTTGTCAGTACCTGTCTTTATTTTTAAAACCACAGGACAACATCCTTGTTCTCAAGATAATGGTGGCTGCTCGCACATTTGCATCGTGAAGGGTGATGGCACCACGCGCTGCTCTTGCCCAGTCCACCTTGTTCTGCTGCAGGATGAGCTGTCCTGTGGAGGTAAGTCTTCCTCATGCTCTGTCACTAAGCTCTCAGCTTCTGGGTTTGGGGAGTTCCATCTTTAGGGGTGGCTTCTGAGCAGAAAGAATGTGACAGTGCACCAGGTGCTGTTACATGCTTTTACATGCTTACCTCTTTGCCTTCCCCAGCTAAATCTGCAAGTATTGAGGAGTAAGAGAAAAGTTTATTAGTTCACTGTTGAATAAGGGTTTCTGTTCATCCTCCCTCCTTAAGACCACTGAATTATTTCGACTGGATTTTTCAGTTGTATGATTTTTATTACTTCTTTTGTGTCACTCTATATGTTCTCCTTTTTCAAATAGTGGTAGATTCTCACGTTTTTGCATATTGCACCATGTCTGTGCCGTTTTATTCCTCTCTGCTGTCCTCCTCAAACTCACCCTGTGCATGTCTTTCTGAACTGCAGCCCCAGAAGGCTGAGTTGCTTCCTCCATGGCGATACGGCCACTGTAGCCTACGCCCTGGTGTCTCCAAGGGTGGGGCTGAAATGGGGGAGAGGAGAGGCACTTTGGTGCTTGGGTTTTTTTGTGCCACCATACTGAATGGATTTATTATGCAATCTTCTCGCCATCAAGGCGACGTGTGGTCTCACAATGGAACAAGAGCTAACATAATCCAGATATTTTCTCAGAGCAAGTTTAAGACCAGGCCAAAAAGGGGAGGGGGGAGAAGGGAGGATTTAAAAAAAAGGAAAAATATCCACGCTTACTTAGTGCATGAGATTAACAGTTACTGTATTAAATGTTAAATAACAGCTAACAGCTGTGTTGAGATAGTGGGACTTGACTAGATGGAGCAGTTTTTTGTTGTTTTCAAAGAATTTTGGCTGAGCAGAGCTGTTGAGGGCACATAACTAGACCTTGAGTCACAGTGCATCCATCTGCAGTGCATTACATCCTTTTAACATTTTCTGTACAATGACAAGAAAGTGAGCCATCAGTTGTGTATACAGTGGTGTTACAGGAAAGGGAGTAGAAAAGTGTATTGACTTTAAATGAAGACTTTGGAATCACTACTAAGAAAAGAGTGTAAAAGGCTGAAGTGGGAAGGGAAGAAAAGAATTGTTTTGAGTGTGCAGATTTATCTGTTTCTTTGCCTAATGAGCCTCCATCAAGCTGGGCCTGCATCAGTCACATGGGGCTAAGGATGTGCACAAATGACCATGGGTGAAAGTTACCGTATGACCTGGCCCATTTATCAGCTGCTTGATAAATGAGAGCAGCTGAGCTCTTCTTGTCCTTACCTGTCCTGATCTGCTGTTTGTTCCCCTGGATTTTTAATTCTTGTTTGTTTGCTTGATTTTTTAAAGAACCACCAACATGCTCCCCTCAGCAGTTCACCTGTTTCACAGGTGAGATTGACTGCATCCCAGTGGCCTGGCGCTGTGATGGTTTCACTGAATGTGAAGACCACAGTGATGAAAAGAACTGCCCAGTGTGTTCAGACACCCAGTTCCAGTGTGAAAGTGGACAGTGCATAGACAGTGCCCTCCGGTGCAATGGAGAAGCAAATTGCCAGGACAACTCAGATGAGAAGAACTGCGAAGGTACAAAGGATCTTTCAAAGTGTGATGAAAATAGGGCTGTCATGGGGACACTATGATAAATGCCAAAGTTATTGTTGGGTAGAATTGGGAAGGATCAAAGGTTCTGCTAGTTTTTAAACTGGTCTGTTAAATGGGAAATTATTTCACAACTCCATACTTCTGTTTCGCCACCTGTGAAATGGAAATAACACTGATGTCCTGCACAGTGGTTTAAGCTCTGTGAAAAGTACTATTAAAAGTGGTATAGTTTTGAGCTCTAGAAACCCAGTAACTGGGAGTGAATTACAAAGTGATGCAAATCCTTGAATAGTTTTTTGTGAACATTGTGAAGGTTTTGGGATTGTTTTCTATATAATACCTGAACAAAATGAAGTTAAGCGTTTCTGAGTACGTGGGAGCGAGAGACAGGTGAGATTTCTGGAGACCTTTTCTTCCTACAGAGCACAGCAAGAACAGAGCATTTAAGCCATCATTACTGAGGGAGTGCTGTTTCCAACACAATGAGAATTAGGTTCTTTTACTTTTTGGAAGGACAGGTTATGCTGGTGGAATCTGAATGGCCTGGGTTCAGCAAGTAATTTTTCTGGTGCAGTGCTGTGTTTTCAACTTTCAGTCTGGGAACAACGCTGATAACACCGATGTTTTTAGTTGGTACTAAGTAATGTTTACTCCAACCAAGGACTTTCTCAGTCTCGTGCTCTGACAGGGAGGAGGGGAAGCTGGGAGGAAGCAGAGACAGGACACCTGACCCAAACTGGCCAAAGGGGTATTCCATACCACAGCACGTCATGCCCAGTATAGAAACTGGGGGGAGTTACCCGGAAGGCCCAGATTGCTGCTCGGGTCAGGCTGGGTATCGGTTGGTGGGTGGTGAGCAATTGTATCCTCTCCCTTTGTTATTTCCCTTATTATCATTATTATTGGTAGCAGCAGTGGTTTGTATTATACCTTAGTTACTGGAGTGCTGTTATTTCAACCCGTGGGAGTTACATTCCTCCGATTCTCCTCCCCATCCCTCTGGGAGCAAGGGGAATGAGCGAGCGGCTGCATGGTTCTGAGTTACTGGCTGGGCTTAAACAACGACACTGAACTACCCCACCACTCTGCAATGTGAAACATGAGCAAACTCACCCTCTCCCCACTGCAAAATAGTGAAGAGTTGTAGGGGCAACTTGCAAGCTGGAAAAGATGCCTCTTCTCTATATACTTTCAGTACATTTTCCTTCTTTGAAGAGACTGTCTAAGAGTCTTTGAATCAAGGCTGTTTTTCTTTCCAAAACGGGCTCCAACTCTAACAAAAGCATACAGACTGATGCAGAAATTCCTGTGTGATGAAAAGTGATTGTTAGCCAGATGAGATGCTGACATCTTAAAATACATTGTGTAAGTTAGCTTCCCAGTTGCCATCCAGTGATTGGAGTTACCAGACAAGGGGCTGTTTATCACCTTCAAAGTGGCCCTGTTATTCAGAGTATTCAAGTTGATTACAGAAAAGCCTTTACTTTAACTGTTTAATTCAACTGAAATCAGATAGAATTTCTGCATTTATGAGAAACAGAAGGCAAAAAGATGTGTAAACAACAGCAGCCAGCACCTTGCCTGCAGCACCTTTTTTCCCAAAGCGGTGGTTTATTTTTCGAGCGTACTGGCAAAGCTCCAGTTTTATCTCCTGTCTTTCATTGCATTTTCAAAACATAATGTCAAGTGAAATATATTGTCTCCTGATCAAGGAGTTTTCTGGTTTACAGAAAGAACACAAGGACATTGAGAAACCACATTTATCTTTCCTAAACAATTTTATCATCGTGGTTTGACAGGTTTGATTTTAATAACTTAATTCTTTTCCCTTATATTTCAGTAAATGCTTAGAGTTGGAGATTGGTATAGTAATTTTGCAATAACCATGTCCTGGCATCAGCACCTGTGTTCTCAGTAGCCTTCTGCTTCTGAGTTTAGTCAAGGTAGCTTTATCTTGTAGTGTCCTTACTGTATACAGGCAGTGAGGACCCACGTACCCACTGTGCAATATCCTGAATAGAACACTGAATCACTTTTCCTGCATGGTTGGCATGAGGGACTTTGTTAGCAGCAGGCTAAGCTCTCTCAAGATACTCCTGATTGTATGCTTTGGTGTCTTGTTTTCTTAATCATTTTAAGGAGTAGAAGTCTTTGATACTGATTTGTGGGGTTCTCTTTCCAGTGCTTTGTTTAACTGATCAGTTCCGCTGTGCCAGTGGGCAGTGCATCGGCAAAAGCAAGAAATGTGATCACAACCTGGACTGCAGTGACAGCTCAGATGAGCAAGGATGCTGTAAGTGTAAAGCCTGAGACTAGAGACTTGATTGCAGCGTGCAAAATTTGTTTCTTACCTTCTCTATTAGTTAGATTTTATTCTGCCAACCAGACTGAATTATTCCATAATGAATGCTCCTGTTTATAACTGCTGTCATGCAATTAATGCATAATATGGTGGAATAGGAATAACAAAAATAACTAGTATTCTGAATGAGTAGTCTCTGAGGTGCAGAGTAGACTAGTAATTTTACCACTTACCTTTTTACACTTTTAAAAGAAATAAAAGGTTTGTTTTCTTATAAGCTGTTAGTATGCTGAATTGGAATAGTGTTAATAAAAAATCTAGTAGCATGAGGCTTTCATACATAACTGCTCTGCTTCATGTTTTCCTCATCCAGAGAATTAATAGCAGGTGGTTTTAGAATCAGAGGAGCACTCTGTTTATAGAGTAGGCCTTCTAAAATTTCCTTTGTATCTTGAAAAGATGTAATTCTGAGCTTGATTTGTGATTTATAACATGTCATGTCCCCTACCTTGAAATCTCCAGGGCTCTGCAAGAAAACCACTGCCTTTAGATTCCAACTTGAAAGTTCTTTTTCACTGTTGGTGCCTTAAAAGAAATTGTAAATAGGGATATCTCTTCTTGTGTTAGAGATCTGTGTATCATGGTTGACGCACATAACTTGAAAATGCAAAGCCAGAGTTGGACCCTTAAACTTAAGAAGGAGTAATAGGAGATGTTCTGTCATGCTATCAAGTCTTTAGTGACATTATCACAGACGTGTATAGTTATCTTTATTATAGTTCATATATTTTCTGGTTATGTAACAGATGATGGAAAACTAGCCCACCCAGAGTAAGACTGCAGTTGTCACTGTCCCCCTTCCAGTGTGATCAGAAGTCTGTTTACTTACCTCTTCAGACTGTGACAAGCTGGTTAAAATGTGGGTTTGGTGTTCAGGGAGAAGAAAATGTGTTGAGGAAAAGACTTTCAGTAATGGATAGGATGTAAAACACTGACTAGAACAGGAAAATACTTTAAAGTCTGCTTTTCTTGTCAAATTTGTGAAGCATAGGCAGGGGGTTGTCATTCCCAGAAATATCACTGCTTAGAATTGGTATTGTCGTCGGGAAAGCCACTTATTTTGACTGTTGAATAATCATTTCAAACACAGATTCCTCATAAGGATGGGGTGTATAAAGCTGATGCTCAGCTGTATCTGTACCATCAGCGTGGGTCAGATGTGGAGTATGTTAGGTAGTTTAATAAATACCAAAAAACCCAAAATTTATCAGTGATGCATCACCTCTACTGTTCAGCATATGTGAATGTTACACAGTTGAGAAAAGGGAGTGCCAATCTGTTACACTGAGTGATAAACTAGGTGCTTATGTGATGAGGTGCAACATGAAAAATAGTTGTCACTGTCTTTAATGACAAGAAAAAGCATAACTGGAGTCCCCAGCACAGTGCCATCTGCAGTCATGGCTACAGGTCTTCTTCAGGTTCAAAGGATAGCCCTGCCTGTCAGCATGAAGCAAGATCAGGACCTGGTTTGTCAACCCCCTGCAAATGCATGTACTGTATATTTCCTATAATTTGTGATTCAAAAACCTCTTTGCATGTGTGGAGGTCATCCATATGCACGGGTAGGTCTTACGAACACTCAGAGTCTTAAACAGACCTGCCCCAGATCCTGTTTGTTCCTACCATATATTAATTTGAAAGCTGTTGTCTGCCTACAGAAGAGGACGCTTTTATTTTTCCTGTGTGGAAAGATGTCAGTAAAGCTGATGTTGGTACATGAAGCTGTTGAATTAACTTACATGGCTTGATTTTCCTTTTTCCTTTTAGACACAACGGAGGAGCCCGCACCACAGCCCAACAACACAATAGGCTCCATCATTGGTGTGATCCTTACAGTTTTTGTGGTTGGAGCAATGTACTTCATTTGCCAGAGGGTGTTGTGCCCACGCATGAAGGGAGATGTAGAAACAATGACCAATGATTACGTGGTGCATGGACCAGCCTCTGTACCTCTTGGTTATGTGCCTCACCCAAGCTCTTTGTCAGGGTCTCTTCCTGGTGAGTAAATGGTGTGATCCTTGTCCTGCTCTGTGGCACCACATAGTTGTAGCTGAGGATACTATGCATGAATGCACAGGAAACATCATTCCAGATGTATAATTCTTGGAAACTGTTGCAAGCCAGGTCTGTCAAGGCTTCTCACCATCCTTCCTTATAAAAATGAACTGCTATTCTACCTATGCTATTCATGAGCATTTAGATACTTAGCAGAACTGCAAGATCAGATAGATACACATATCATGGGAGTTCTCTTCTTTTGCCACTAACACAGCCTGTCTTTGGGCTACTACAGTATCAGCAAAGTGTCATGACAGTGCAGGGTGAAGCTGCACAGTTATATTCACAGGACTTCAAACATTATGTAATTATTAGATTTGTAGACTGAGTTTGTATGCTCGTGAAACTTCTTGTAAGGTCTGTAATGACCAGCAGTAACTGTGGTCTTGGCTTATTTCTTTTGACGATGATGCTTCCAACACCAATCCAAGCACATGATGATACTGATGTTTGAAAAGTAAGACGTAACTGCAATGTTGCACTTAATTTATATATGTTGCTTCCATATATATTGATTCAATATTACTTGTGGCTTTGGATTCAGCAGGTTCCAGTCAGAACATAGAGGTTCTGTGAGGCTGTTGCAGGGTTAAAGTAATACACCAAATTTCTTTGTTTTCTGTAATAACCTGCTTTAACAAAGAGTCCTTGAGCAGAATCCTCACCATTATTTCGAGCACAGTGGCATACCTCTCGTTTTCCTGCTTGGACTCTCTGCAAGCATGCTTCAGTCCAGTAGCAAAAGCTCACTTAATGTTGTCAAAATGAAAGAACACAAACCTTCTCACACAAATTTCAGTTACTCAGTTGAGGTGGTCAGAGTCAGTTTCATGTTTTATTCTGAGGCACAGAAATAGTGCCTGAATGCTCACTCTCTCAAGTCTTTTCCAGCCATTCAAGTGAAAGAAAACTGTTTCTCTTCACACAGCTTTAGTTTAGCCCAGTGCCAAGTCCTGCAGTTGAGTAGCTGAAACACAAACCCAACATGCTTATTCCCTGACAGTATTCATTCCAGTTGTCCATCAAGGAGCGCTGAATTTGCTCTTAATACTGAAGCAATTCGTTTTGATTTTAGGAGTTGTGCTTACACTACTGTTATCCTCCAGATCGTTTTTAAGCTTTCTTTTCTGTTTGCTCTAAAGAATTGAATATTGACATATATCTTTGTTCTTCAGGGATGTCTCGAGGTAAATCTGTGATCAGCTCCCTCAGCATTATGGGAGGGAGCAGTGGGCCACCCTATGACAGGGCCCATGTCACTGGAGCCTCTTCCAGTAGTTCTTCAAGTACCAAAGGCACTTACTTTCCTCCAGTAAGTCATTCTATTATTCACAGACCTTTGATAATTTTCAGGGAAGTGTCAGAGTGTTTCTGAGAATTATTAATTGACAGATGAATGTTTTGTTTAAAATGTCTATCTTAATCAACTCGTTGGAACATGGAGTGAGTGATTTTCAAAGGAAAGGGAGAGGGGACTGTCTTTTTACAAAACAGTATAGGAATTTTCTGTTCATTTTAAAACATTGAGAAAGATCAGTGCCTGAATAAGATGCTAGATTGAATGTCAGGGGAGATGAAAAAATCCCTGTAAAAGTTGAGCATCTCTGGCAGAGCGATCTCCTTTCATTATACTCTGCCATGTGCCTCTGGAGGTAAAACTATGGGTGATTCTGCATAGACTTTTCAAGGAATTAAAATGAAATTTTGTGTCACGTGTCTTGCAAGTGACAGGTAAATAAACAAGTGTCTTGCAACTCCATAGCACATACCCATAGTCACAAATGGGTAGTGTGCTGCACTAGATGCTATATAGAAGTTGGTACCAGCCCTAGAGGGCTCCCTGTCTCTTCTAGCATCTGTGGTTGTTGTTTTAGGTATTTTTACATAACGATCCCAAGCCACTATCGAGTGTTCGAGTTACGTGCTTGGTTGGTGCAGGCTGAAAACCATGTTTCAGTTCTGAGAATCAAGCCATCATGTTACATCTTTATATTAATCAAAATACTGTTTGTGCAGTAAGGGCATGTCTGTATAGGGAAAAAATACTTGCCTCGGACAGTACACTGCAAGTATTGTAAACAGCATAATACCTGGGGACTATAGCTAGTGGGAGCAGACATCTGCCAGTTTGCCTAGGGCAGTGGTATCCCTAGTGACAATATAGTATTGAACAACTAGCTTCAACTTTACTTTTTAGCACTGGATATGTCAAAATAGCAACAGCAGTCAGCATTCTTTGAGAAAAGCTTAGTAATAGCTTCTGTGAGAATGGTAACAACCAGCATTTCCAGTGTCTGTTAAAGAACTGGGGATTAAACGGAAGAAAAATCCTGTTTGTTGGGAGGGTCTATGCATGCATTCTTAACTTAAGGTTCCTATTAAACAGCAATAAAAAGAAAATTTATGAACTGATATTTTCTTATCTCCTCAATATCTTTTTTTTTATTTAACTGTGGCTTTTTTCTTTTTTTCTCCTTAGATTTTGAACCCACCACCATCACCAGCTACCGAACGTTCACATTATACCATGGAATTCGGGTATTCTTCAAACAGCCCATCCACTCACAGATCCTACAGGTAATTACTAGTACAATAGCATCCTTCAGGATAAAAGCAGTTAGTGGAGAAAACGCAGAAGAAAGGCAGCCTCTGCTCCAGAAGAATTGCAATCAAAGCCCCTAATTCTGCAAGCACTAAAATAGGTGCTTAAGTGGGTTCACAAATATCACCTCACTGAAGCATGCGTGTAAGTGCAGAGGTAAATCGTGCAGGAAGTGGGTTAGTGGTACACCTCTCAGGTATATCGCTTTAGGGGAAATGACAACACTGATCACAAAATTAGCTAAATGCCAAAAGAATCCTGGTACTGTGATAACTTTGAGCCAAAAATACTTACCCTGGAGTGAGCTCTGCCTTTTTTTAGCCTTCTGTCATAAATAATTTCGTATGGAATTATCCAAAATGATAGACAAACACCATGCAGAGGAGAGTTGTTAGTAAAAAGGCTAATAGGTCAGAATTAACAGTATTATGGTCTACTTAAGGCACTGAAATTCTAGTTTGACACTTAAGGGTTAATATCTAGAAAGGTTGCTAACCTTTTGCTTATTTTCTCTGGCAAATATGTATGGGCATGCAAGCTTTATCTCTGTTGACTTGAATGTATCTTTTTTACCTTCCCTGTAAGATGCTAGATTTCATTATAATTTTATAACTAATTGCCAGAAATAAAGAAAGAGACAGCTACTACCCAAGGGTGTAAAGGTTCCCCTCCCAAATCACTAGAAGATCTAGTCAATAAGAAGAGAGCACTCCATTTGTCTATTGAAAGAAATGCCTCCCTAACACAGAGCCTTTGGGGGCTTCTGGATAATGAGGTCTCTGGGGCTGGTAAGACATCTCTTCTCCATTAGCAGAAAATATGGCCTCTGTTGTGCAGAAGGTCAGACCAGATGTTTATAATGATCCCTTGCAGCCATGTGAAAAATCTTTTAAAATGATGAGTAATTTTCTAATGAAAGAAACCCAAATTTTGGCACCAGCATGAATCACACTGATCACTGGTTAGCTGATAGGACTTTTTGCATTATAAATGGAATTAGGGATGTAGAGTAGGGTTGAATGTTTTCCGAATGCTTCCCTACCCAGAAATAAACTCTGGCCTTGCTGCTTCTGATCTTCCCATCTTTCCTAACATTCTGACTTGAATATAGAGGAGCTGCATGCCCACCCGCCCCTGACAACTGACTGTAATGTTGGTAGTTGTAGCTACCAAGTACCTCTTTTTCTAGTTTGTTTCATTTAAACTATCTTGGGCTTATTTTAAAAGATGTTTTGTGGTAGCAGCCTTTGGGAATTCCATCCCAGGCGAGTGATTCTCCTGACTGCTGTGAATGTGCCAGGCAATTTTAAGTCTTCCTGTCTGGGTTTAGAAGTATCCATAAATTGCATAATGGAAACAGACTGTCTTCTCCATATAATTGCAACACAGTTATTTCACACACGCACACAATCCCTGTGCCCTTCCTGCCCCACTGTCTTAGGAGCAACTTCTTCTACTTAAAATAAGTCCTTAGGGAGCCTGTTGTCCATAGATAATTGATAATTATCATCCCTTTCACTAGTTGCTGTAGTTTGACTGACACTGTAGTGCGAAGGTGGGCCTTCTGCAGGGGGGTTAAGTGTAAGACAGAAGAAACTGATGCTGTGTATCTACTGCAGAGGTTGACCCACTCTCTGTTGCCACCTTGTCTTACCCACACTCACTTGCTCATGGGCGCGTTGCCCGAAATGCCCAGTCTTTCTATACGCCAATGCTTCTCCCATGCATCTCCCCACTGCAGCTACAGGCCTTACAGCTACCGTCACTTTGCACCTCCCACCACGCCCTGCAGCACGGATGTCTGTGACAGTGACTATGCCCCCAGCCGAAGGGTCACAGCAGCGACGGCCAAGGGCTATACCAGTGACTTGAACTATGACTCGGAGCCCGTCCCCCCGCCACCCACCCCGCGCAGCCAGTACCTGTCGGCGGAGGAGAACTACGAGAGCTGCCCACCTTCCCCGTACACGGAGCGGAGCTACTCCCACCACCTCTACCCGCCACCGCCGTCCCCCTGCACGGACTCCTCATGAGGGGGAGCCCCCCCACCCCATCATCCGCCTCCGCTGTGAAAGTGTAAATACAAAGCGTTCCACTGGGGAGGGGGGAGGGAGCTCTCGGCGAAGGATGAGGGAGGACAGTGTACAGTTAAATGTTATTAAATGGGGTGGAGGAATACTGAAGATATTTGTACAGAAGAATTAAAGAAAAAAAAGGATATTTATATATTTTCTTAAACAGCAACTGCTGCTTGTGCCATAAGAAGAAAAATTTTTGTATAAAAGAACCCAGACATTTGTACAAAAAGGTTTTATTTTTGCAAATGGAACACAAAAACATGCCTTAATCCAGTGAAGTGACTGAGCACATAAGGAAATGGAAGGACCGGGATGTGTTACTTGTCCAGCGAGGTGATACGTGGGGTTTGTCAATACCAAAAATGTTTAAATTAATTAAGAATAAAAATGTCCGTCTCAGAGCAGCATACCATAGATACTTGGAAGTAGCCAAATAACCTCTTTGTTAACTACAGAGGGCCAGCAACTAAAGTTAAACTTGAAAACACAGTCAGGACAGATATTAACCTTACACAAAGGGCTTTGTTTTCTACAGAAATACAGCAATCGTAGCAGTGAATCCAGAAAAATAATCACATGGTTTTCTAAATTAATACGCCTCTGTTTTTCCTTAATGCATTTACCAAACTAGAGCATTTAGAGCTCTCTCCTTGCTTCTGGAATTTCAATGAATTTTTTGTTGGGTATATTTTAAAGTTTGCTTTTTTTTTTTTTTCCTCCTGTTGAGCTTTTTCCATCTTTTCTTCATCCTTTCTTCCTGCCTGTGTCACTTTAAATCATGATATCCTTATTTAAAGTACTGCTAGAACTGGGCTGCTGTAAATTCTGGTTTTCTCCTCATTAGCCTTGTCACGCAGAGAGTATCATGCTGTACATGGTCTTCTTCACTTTGCCAGCACAGTGGGATTCTGTTTTGTACGAGGTCAGTACGATTTTCACGTAATTGACAAGGGTAATATGCATATACCTGAATGATTTTTAGTCCCTTAAAAAAGAAAACCTTATTTTGACCTAGTGCCCACAAAATGTCAAATATTTTTATACCACATATAATACAGACAGCATATTTATAAACTATAAATTTAACCATGGATTGTTAGTTTTACTGTAAATGAATAATATATCCTTGCAGTACTTTCAGTGTATATTGATATCACAGTATACAAATCATATATATAAATATATATATATATTATTTTTTCCTAGTAAGGAAGCATTTAACTTTCAGCGGAGCAACTGTCCATAAAAAAAATAGATGTTTTGATCATTGGAAGGGGTTCCCGTGCTGTATTAACTGCTCATGATTTCTTTGTGTTAGGTAAAGCCAGTTTTTCTCAGTATGATTTTGACATACCTCCTCTTTTGCGTGGTGTGAGTTTAATACTTTAGTATTAACCGCTGTGAATGTCAAATTTTAAGATATTCTTAACCAAACCATTTTATATTCGCATCTCTATTTTTGTATATTATCATATTTAGCCCCTTCTCCCATCAGCCTCACCATGGTGATTTTGACAGGGAGAGTATATAATCAAGTGAAAACATTATTTGCATAGGTTGGGGGGCAACCTAGGATATTATTAACTCCTCTTTGACTCCAGTGCAGTGTTTTCAGTTTGCTTTGACTGTAGTGGAGCTCACAGTATACCTGATCTTAGATGTCATTTTGCATTTGCACCTTCTGTTGGCATCACATCCATTGAAGGTGCTCAATGTCTTCAAAGACTGGCCCTCTGAGTCTTCTCTTTCAAGACAAAGGTACTGAGGAGCTTCTCCCTCCTAGCCTTTGGGCTGTAGGGGTTTAACAACTTCTTAGAAGTGCCATTTGGGCTTTATTGTTCTCTGTTGCTTGTTTCCTAGCCAGTTTCAACTAAAAGAGAAATAATCTGAAAATGTGGCATGGGCTTTAATTCATGCTGTTGACAGAATTAGCGACAAGTAATTCTTGCTGCCGCTCATGTGGATACTGGAGCCTCACTTGGTTTCAACTCTAAGGAAAACCATGGCATTGGGATTCCAGCTGTAATAAAGGGTCTTCCTAGTAGTCCAAGATACCTGAGGAAGCTTTAAAAAGCCTTGGTGGTCTCCAGGCTATCGCAGTTGATCTCTGGATCTGGCATACTAAGTGGGCTTTTTGCCCAGCTTCATTCTAGGTATCTAGGAAATGTGGTAGCTGTTCATCTGGCTCTTCCTTGCTGACGAAGAAGCTTGTTTGTGTTCTCCAGCAGGATGGATGTTGAGAAGGGTATTGTGAACTATAAGGGAACTCGAAACCATTTATATGAAGAGGGGAGGGTGGGAGTGTCGGGCAGGGGGTGTTGAGGCTGGCACGCCAATGAGAATTAGAAACTTCTCTGTTGTTTACATTTTTTTCATGTGCAGCATTCCGTGTGGGGTTCACATGTGGAAACTTGCACTAATGAACTCAGAAGAATATTGCATTGTTGTATCTCAGTCCAAGTGCTTGTACTGCGATGGCAATGGTCTCTTCTTGCAAAATGCTTACTTTCAGTGTGCCAATTTCTGTTTGAAAAACTCTAAGGTGGTTGAGCTTAAGGAGTGGTATCCTCTTTCTGGTGCAGCTTCCTCTTGGAGGGGACTTCCTGCAGCTAAATTCGTGTGTTACTTACAGCAAGGGTGCTTTAGAAGATAAACGTTCTCTGTGTATGGATCATGCTGCCTGCCTTCTGTGACGCTGGTTTACAGCCATACATAACTCAGCTGCAGTCAAATGTGGTGGACATACAATTCAGTGTAGGATTTGATCAAGTCTTTTTGGTACGTATGTGTTAGTTTGCTCGTCAGGTATTTTGAGTGATCTGCCACTGGGAGGTTCATGTGAAGAGAGGGAAGGTGGACAGGCTGTGTTTTTCCACTGAAGATGACCAGCATAGAGAGCAGGCTGTTTCTCATCTGGACTAACCAAAGAATTTCTTTAGTGGGAAGCAGTGATCTGCCTTTACAAGTACGTGTGTTTTCCCAGTAAATCAAGAGTAAAATGTTTTTAAAGTTGATGATCTGTGAAGTTCCTCTTGGGTGGATCTCCAAATTACAAAAGCTTTGATGCAACTAGTGAGCATACCTGACATGCTCCCAGTGGATAAACCGTAGACTGATTGAACATGGGACTAAGCAATTTTGCTCTGTTCTGCTCCACCACTGAGCCTCTCATGATTCATACTCTCTCCTCTCAATGAGGATCATGCTTCTCAAACTGATCAAGATGCTAGGGCTTTGGATAATGCACATATGTCAGTCCAAGGAAATGGCTAAAGTGGGTTTGTAGCATTGGCATGGAAGTGCTCTCACCGATGTCAGTGAAATTGCTCTTTGTCTTTTAAGCTAAGCACAAATGTCCTTATCTTACAGCATCAGGTACATACACAGTAAGGCATTAGCACAAGTACTCGTTGTGCACTTTTTCCTCTATGTAGACATCTGGGGAGTGTTCGTAGCTGTCTGTGTGGTAATGGAAATAGCTGGCATGCACAATCAGGAAAGGAACACTCCTTGGTGTTTTTTTTCAAGAAGGAAAACAAAAGGGATATTACAGCATAATTTGTTGAAAACTAACCTTTTCAGGTTCAACAGAAGCCTAGCCTTTTAAATGGCAACATTAATGAGACCTCATCTTCTGTTATAAAATCATACCTGCCATGTCATACTGTGTTTTCATGCCTTCCTCATTTCTCCACTGCTTTTGGATACCAAGTTATTTATTGGAAAAGAACTTTGATACGATAAATGGAACATGCATGTAGAGTTTGTGTTTGAAATAACTATTACCGTGAATATAAATTCATGCAACCTGTGCATATACATTAAATGAAATATTTACCATAATGTAAATGAGCCAGTGGATATCAAAGGATTCATTTTGCTGTGAGTTGTAACTTTCAGTGTTGTAAATTCCAGATTACCGCCGTAACATTTGTCCCCACCATGTGCATATAAAACTATATGTATGCAGGTACTCATATCTTTGATAATGTGAATTTACCCAAAGCTAATATTCTTCTCTGTTGTGCATCCACATTCACACACCCCCAGTGGCAGGTTGAGCCTCCCTGCCTTTCAGAGTGGTAATGCTGAATGAGGTCCTGCAGTCTCATGTAAATTCGACTTCTTTTGGCCAGGTTGTAGGAGAGACAGCAGAATACTTGCTGCTTTAAACCTGAATAGTTAATGCTCTGTCATGCCAGATAGGAGAGGAAGCACATTTTTTATACTGTTCCCCTACTTTTGGAGTCCATTTTGCAGACGAGTACTACTCTTCTGTTTTCTATAGGTACATAAAAATCTATCTGTTAAAGTTACACCTAAACTGCTTGACATGGCAGGTTCTGCAATGCACCGCAAGTGAAGGTGCATGCAGAAAATCCCTATTTATTGCACTAATGGACTTTGGTGTTCAGTTGTGCATTGCTTCTCTATTTGTTATGGTCCCTTCTCTAGAGATGGCTCAATTGGTGAGTCTTAAACACAGATTCATTTGTTTTATTTAAAGCAGTTATGCCTGTGCTAAGATGAAGAAAAGGCCACTGTCTTGAATATCAATTATTTCCATTCCATATTGCTTGGCAAATCTCCTTCCATTAATTGATTACCCTCATTCTGGGGGAAACTGCTTGAGCTACAGAACTCCCTGGTCACACATGCTGTTGAGTCCAATTGACTTCTTCAAAATATCTCTTAAGAAGTAACCAATCACTTCTTTTCCTGACATTTTTGTCTTGAGCATGTTTGTCAGACAGTATTGTTAAGGACAGAACCTGTTTGAACATGTACTGTACATGTAGCAGATTACTTATTATTTCTACAACAAAAAAATAGCTGGCTTATTGGGTGCAAAAATAATTCGAACATTGCTATTTAGAAATTGCTTTCTTAGCAATTAGGATTATTGCTTGGAAATTAGCTTTTAAATTAACATGACAGAAGCATCTTGAAAATAAATTAGGAATGACCTAATAACTTGAAAAGGGCTGAAAAACATTCCATTTTTTTCTGAAAGAAGTCAAACAAAATACAGTCGCGATCCAAAATGGGCAGGTTTGCTTCCTTTCCATCTTTAAAAAGGGCAGCTCAGTGGATGATGCCAGTGTAGCATGTAGAGGGCCAGGGTGATCCACTGCAGAACTGTGCAGGGTGGGTAAGTGAACTGTCCATGTTCCATTCAGGCCAGAGACTGTATTAGTAGCAGGCAGCATGATTGTTAACCGTGGAACTATTGGAGAACAGTTTTGTTCCCCTCTTTTTAAATGAACAAGGAGCAGCTTTGAAGTCCTGATTAAAATGGCTGTAGCCTTAAGCCAGGCAGTTAACAGTCAGCCAGGGGAAATGAAAGTGTCTTTTGTGAGGAGGATACCACCAGGCTTAAGCTGAACTAGCCTTGTTTGCAAGTGAAGGATCTGGTGCTGCTTTCAGATTTTTAATCTTGTGTTTTGTTTTATTTGTTCTTTTTTGTAAGCTTTAATCACTGTTTGTCATTGTCTTAAAGCCAGCTGGTGTCTCTTGTTCATCAACTTTGGTACGATGGTGCTTTGCAAGGATGTATTTATATTATAATGACCAACATTTGGTCAGCCCTGTTCACTCATTCACTAACGGTTTTTTTT